CTTTTATTAACCAAGTTTAAAAACTCAGCAAAAACACAGGGTTCCATAACTTACAGTAAGGACCTAGAACTTGGTGAATTAGAGAAAACAAGGTATATCTCTGGGTTCAAATAGAGGAAGATCCCACATCAGACATACTTTTAAATTTAGTGGGTGGTACAGTTAAATACAGCCTGCTAAATTGACTGATCATAGCACAAGTACTAACTGAGAGGAGTAATAAAGTACACGATAGACTTGTCAGTACTACTTTATCAAATAGCTTCTTACTTGATATTCCAAAGCCAGATCAGAATGGATATCAATATCGATTTTAGCCAGCTCTAACAAGCCCTCTTTCTCTCCCATTACTGCATCTAACTTTGGAGATAAGGCTTTACAAGGGCCACACCAGCTGTTTAAGAGATGAGATGTGGGTAATGTGAGTTTTAAAGAATCTACCTTTTATTACCTTCAGTGCAGAAATGACTTACAAATGGTATCATTAGGTAATAACATGAATTTGAGTGCCATTTGGTGTAAATAAGCTAAAATGAAAACTTTTCATAGACAAAAAAATTACACAAGCTGGTAGGGAAAGTGCATTTTGCAAGGGTTTCATTAAGAGCAGGCACTGGGAAAATTGACCACTTGTGAGGACAGCTTCACACACCTAGATTGGCCATTTAGAGGAATGTTTTTCCTACAAAGAATTTCAGTTCAAAAAGTTTTACCCACCTGTGAAAACAAGTTGCCCCCCTGCTGAAAACATGAATGAAACCTCTCAATTTGTAGTCTTTGAAAAAATTTATAAGTGCTTGCTTATACCCTGTAGAGCATCACAGAAAATTATGATAGTGCATGCTTGCTCATTTGTCATTTGCACTTTTGTAATTTCCAATCATGTTACAACTTAGATTACATGAAAATGCACTTGTTTTCAGCCAATCAGAAGTAAGTAACTTTTCTCGTATATTATTAATAATGGTAAATGTATGTGATATATAGGTCATTTTTGTCTAATAGGGTCAAATTTGATTGAAATCTTTCTCATAATATTTTGCAGTTTATAGGGTTCTAAAAACTTGATTCATCCAGTTGCAGTATAATTATTCAGTATTTAGAGTGAGGTCTCAGCTATGCAGTCACTGAAAAGTTCCATGGGGGATAAATGGGAAATGTTAGTTTCCTGAAGACCAGAAAAAAACAACCATAAAAGAGGATAAAGAAATAAAAAAAAATTAAAAATAAATAATATTTTCCATACTCAGCATAGAAGTCCACAAGGACAGGTTTGGCAGAGGCCAAAACTTTCTTCTGAAAGTCGTCTTTGTCTTTCACCTCAAACGGGGTTCTGAAATATGATGTGGTAGTGATGTGTGCTGACGTTCCAGAAAGGTACTTTGGTGAAAATAAAGCCCTGTGGTGGGACGTCAGTCGATGAGCCATTCTTAACATGAAGCAAGCTATTAAAACAACATACGATGCAAGAGATTAGTAGAACGAAAATTACATCAAATGGCAAGATTTTAATGCTGTTGGTACCTACAGTATGATTGCCAAGAGCTTTCATCTTTGTCATTCATACGCTACGGATAGGATTCTTTAAGTCTTGAATCTCGCTTCGTATTCTGTAACCTCCCTAGTAAATTCTATGTCACAAACGTTCAGTATCACCACCTCTCTTAAATTTTTTTTTACTGCTAATCACATTATTTCTGTTACAGAAAGGTTCAAATACATGTAACAGGTAAACAGTTTATTGGCTTCTTTTGCCATGAAAAACACCCTTATCTGGACTAAATTAACACCCATCTCCATTGTGTTTTGCATGTGTTTATGTGAATTACAAGTGGTAAAAAGTTGCCTTGTCGGATCTGCACCGAAAACCGAATTGAGAAGGTCGTTCATAAGCGATTATATATTGTGTTACACACTGCATAGATTAGTCATAAAGTCTTAGATACTAAATACACGTATAAAATAAGAAAAACTTTTATAAATTTTGAAAGTTCTTAAGCACAATTCAGCTTCGAATTTTTGTCAGAATTATGGAATGAACCCTTACAGAATATTTACACATGGCGTAGAACAATAGTTTTTATTATTTTCAGTAAAATCCATTTTTTTGTCCATCAAAAATCGCGATCTTTTTACCTCAATCTCTGCGCCAGCGGGATCAGCTTCTGTGAAATTTGTGCTCGATACGCTGCTCCTCGATACAATATGGTTCCTTTGTTTTACTCAGCCTCAAAGGAAACTCGGGAAGGAAATGTGGATTATTAAGGTTGCTATGCGACACTAATATGACCGAAGACTCGACCTACTGAAAGGTGACACAAATTCCACTAAAGAATGGCAGTCAAAGGACTTTCAGAAAAACAAAAAGCTGCTTTGGCAGAAATAGTCACTGCTGAAACTTTATTCGACATTGAAGAATATATTAGACCTGAATTTTGTAACAAATCAGAAAGCCGAGAGTTGTTCACGTCGGATGTGCATTTGAACTCATTGAGGAGACGCATTGTTCAGGATGGTCATGGAAGGTGGAGGGAGATAAATCCACAACATTACTCTAGCAATTTACTATCACCATTAAGGAAAAATTCAGGAATAGCCAAAAGAGAGAGTCGATCAGATCTCAAACATGGAGCTGCTGAAACTTCTTACAACATTCACACAATCAATCCAAATTATAACAATCTTTCTATGGCCTTGAGATCCAATGTTTTCCCAGGACTTGGAAATAATCATTGGCATAGTACAACAGCTAAAGTTTACAAAACACAACACGTGATTCCAACTTCACAAAGGGAGAAATTTTTTGGCGTGCAAACTGATGAGTTTGGAAAGTGGTCAGCTGCTAACGTTCACCATGAAAGAATGAAGAAAAAGTGGGAGACATATCTTGATTCTCTTCCAAAACAGGCAGGTAACTGAGTTTATCTTTGAACATTATTTCACTGCTATACCATGCTGTGTCAAAATTTCCATTGTGTACTCAAATTAAATGAACAGTAAAGTGATTCACCAGAAAATGTTAAGCTCCAGGATAGTGGTGAATAGGCAAGACTCAAGGGAATTAGGCCTCGTGGAGGCCACTCAAACTCCCCAAACTTAGGCACATTCTTACTGTCTCTCCAAAAGCTCCAATGATTACTTCCTCCAACAGGAAATAATGAATATTGCTTTTAAGTCTTTAAGCAGAGTTCAATACATTGCATAAGGTGCAGTTCTGCTGATCCTGTAGTCCGAGTGTCTGGATTGAAGGAATGTTTTCAAAAGTATTGACAGATGTTTGGGCAAACTTTAAACTGACTGTACTTTACCTTTCTGGCCCTGGTTGTTCAAAACTGGGTTAAGGTAACCCAGGGTTAGTGTGAAATTTGATTTCAGGTCTGAAAACTTTAAGAGAAAATTCAGGTCAAATCTTTTTGCTTGCAATTTGATCATTGGATGTTCTAAAAAGAGTAGTGAAAATTTTCCCTAAAAGACTTTTGAACAAAGAAATAAAGAAAGCTGGATTAAAATTTAACCCTGGGTTAGGGCTAATCGGCCTTTGAACAACAGGGGCCTGGCTGAGACTCAAATAGGTGCAAATTGTGCACGATTAGTTGGTTTTGTGATCCACTAGTATAAGTTTGTTTGTTGTGTATTGGTGAATAGGTGGTTAGTCTGGTGCTAGAAGTTGCTAACATTTTAAAATTCTTGAGAGGAGTTTGTTCTAAGTGAACTAGCTTTCCAGAGTCAGACATTAAAAGTTGTTATAGCTTTAGGGAACCAATTGATAAATAATGTGGTTTGAAGGTTGAAGGTGTTTAAAAATGTGATCACTGAATAAAGGAGGTAAGTTTCCAAAGAAAATGTGATGCTGAATTGATGGGGATTATACAGAATAGTTTGGTGTTATAAACTGAAGTAATAATGTATATTAGCCACTGTTAAAAGTTAGTAGAAGCCCTTCATTAGAGTGCAGCACTAACATATGGCTAATGCTTGAAATGCCATCTTTTGAAATTCTACAGTGGCCAATTTACATCAAAAGCGTATTATGATTATTGACCTTCCAATTCCTTAATAGCACAAATGACCTTTATAGCCCATAGCCAGGTCACATTTTCACTCCTGGTAAATGATTGCTTAACAGAAAAGGGAATGTTGCAATGTGCTTCATGAGTTCTGGGTAAAATAACGATTAATTGCTGGTTCTCTTGGTCTTCCAAACAGATGGGGATATCTAATACTTGACCTTAGGTAACATCTAGTAAGTGACAAAATTTCTCAAAGGCTCGGCTCTCCAAATCCCCACGGATAGCCTCACCCTTAACCTGTGGCATAACATTTAAAGGTGCATGACATGGAAATGGTTAATCAAATGAGCAGCAGTGAAACCACACTTATGTTTTAATACCTATCAAATTTAATTAAAGAAAACTGGCCTCCCCAAGAACCAAAACAAGTAACCACCAAGGTTGAGGAGCCCCCACCACAAGCAAAGGTAAAGAAACCCAACCCTAAACCTAAGGCACAAAAGAAGCAGACGCCAGTTGATGAGAAAAAAGTTGCACATGAAGATAGTGTGCCTTCAAAACCAATAGAAATCATTCAAGATGAGGATAATGATGATAACTTTTGGGATTTTTATGACAAACCTTTCAATAAACCAACTTAGCTGTGAGTGCAGTCTCTTCATTTATGTCTGTAGAGGAAACTTTTTGATATCACATTAACATTACCATCATTATAACCACATATACTTAGTGTCATGCTAGTTAGTTATTTTGTTAAGGTGATGGTACTCTGTCAACATGTAATTGAAATGATGTAAATAAAGAAAGTATTTATGACTGTGACAAACCACCCTTGTAACAATAAATGATTTTCATGTTTACCAGTAGGTGAAAAAATTTTCTATTAGCTTCTCTTAAAAGTTATTTTACAAGGTAGTTATTTTAGTGTTAATTTCCTATTTTATATGAAGAGTAAAATGTATCATAAAGAAAACAATGTAAATCAAAGTATCAACTCATAACAAACAAAAGAGAATTATTTTTAAATTAACAGATACAAGTAGTTTAGGAAATAAATTATGAAGTAATAAAAGTTCAAGTTAATTTGCACTCTTTGTCTTTTGACATACTCTTACTTGTATACCCCCATAAATTTGGGAGGGAGGGAGGGAGGTTACCTGCCCTGTTTGTTTTGTTAGCACTGATCAGTTGATAGTTATCCAACCACCTTCAGTTTTTCAACAGATGTCCAACTAATTAACCTCTATTCAGCAAAAAAGACAGAACAAAACATACTACTGTGCTACTGCATACTACCACATACTGCTGCAGACCATGCCAAGCCTGAAGAAACTTACTGAAGAGCTCTGCTAGGAAATCATAAGTTGCCTTTTTCTTTTCCCCCAATAAGTAAAGATCTAGCATTCCCTTCACCCATTCTCATTTTCACCAAAACTAGGTTTTGTAGCCACATCAATTTCAATGGCCATTGCCTTCATTTCAAAGTTACCGGTATATATACTACTGTACACTATCTATAAACAGGATGGGAATGATTTCACAAGGTTGTATTATCCATCCTTCAAAAAACCAGAGCTTAACAAATAGTTATCCAGGTGTCACACAGGTATGGTCATTAGGTTCAATTATATCCATTACAACATGTGCCTAAAATTACATCAATCAGCAATGTTAAATCAACCACACCAAGTTCATGATAAAAACTTTTCCTAACAGTTCCTATCTGATAGAAAGTGAAAGAGCAAGATCTCTCCCCATGTGTGTTGTCTCACAAGAATACTGTCTTGTTTTAGCTCTATCCTGTACACATTTTGTATCCCAAGGAGAAAAATGTATCACTGAACATTTCCCTTTATCTTCCTTCTTTCTTTCTCTTCCCTTTCTCTTCTAAGAAGAAACGCAAACAAACACATGTGCCAGCAATTCACATTGTAGACAAAATTTCATCTGCAATCTGGGTTTCAAGTGGTCCTAAAGCTGAAAAGAGAAGGCAGAATATTAACTGATGGGGGATGCAAGAAAATCAACATCTACCTAATAGGTACATATATAAAAAATATAACTGCGAAATAAAAGTTTGAGAGGAAATCAGAAAATATGGAACTCAAAATATAATAATACATCACATATTAAAATAGTTTGAATATTGCCTTGCAAAGCAAACCATAAACAGGGAATTTTAATTACCTCCTGGCATTTCAGGAAAGACAGCATCCTGATCACCACTACTAAATATTCCAACAATATCCACATCATTATCAGAGGCACCATTGGGTTTTAATGGAGAACCTCCAGGCAGCAGATCTACCGCAGGAACAATGGTGCTAGGTATAGCTGATGATAACGTTGACAATGGATCAGCATGTGAGCTTACTGACGCTGTAACAAGACAAAACATGAAGAAATGAAGACTCCACAATAATAAAAATTTCTAATTTGCACTCCAAGTTGCTTCTTTCCTATTCTTAGATCCCAATCCCTGATAGGCATGTGAGCTTCCTAATGCTGTAACAAGACAAAACATGAAGAGATGAAGACTTAACAATAATAAAAATTTCTATTTTGCACTCCAAGTTGCTTCTTTCCTATTCTTAGACCCCAATCCCTGGTAAGCATATGAGCTTACTGATGCTGTGACAAGACAAAACACAAAGAAATGAAGACTCAACAATAATAAAAATGTCTAATTTGCACTCTAAATTGCTTCTTTCCTATTCTTAGATCCCAATCCCTGGTAAGCATGTGAGCTTACTGATGCTGTGACAAGACAAACCACAAAGAAATGAAGACTCAACAATAATAAAAATTTCTAATTTGCACTCCAAGTTACTTCTTTTCTATTCTTAGATTCCAGTCCCTGGTGATTTGCATTTAATATATACTATTGCACATAACACTGCATGAAGTAACAGTTGTACTGTTTATTACCTTGCTCTGTTTTCCGCTTCTTGCTTTGGGATTCACTGCTCAAAGATGCTTGTTGAGAAATTTTACTCTTTGCTTTCTGTGTATTCAGTGGGGAATTTTCTTGTTCATGAATCCTTCTCTTCAATGCAGATTTTATTTGTGCCCTTGTACATTAAATAACAAGAAACAAATTCAATATTAGTCCTGTAAGCTGAAAGACTTTCTATGCACATGTATATCACAAACAGAAGTAGTAATATTCTATCTCTCAACATATAAAAAGAGGTGCTACTTCAGTACGTAACAAACAATTTTATTTGTCTACACCTTGAACATAAACTGTTGCTCAGTTGAAAAACAAATGCCAAAAGTGACTTCCAATCAATCAATCAATCAATTTATTTAATGTGGTCAAAGCGCTTAGCTAAAAGCTAGTTTACAGGTATGCCACAGGTACTTACTTTACAGGTACTTCCCTTATAGTGGGAAGCATATCTCCTTTTGTGGAAGTTAACAGGTTATAAGATCAGCAACATGGATAATATTGGATACCTCAGTCAATGAAATTAAACTATTAAGTACATTGGTCAATGCTGTATGCCAGAGTTTTATTTATCGGAATTTACATATCTGCAATTTCTTGCAACTAGATTAATAGTAAATCCTTGCATTTTCTTAATTCTATTTCATTTATTTCATTACAAGCAGTAAATATATAATTTTATTATACAAACATCAATAAAATACCAGGTGAGCATTTGTGCAAAACATGTTACTGTATCTTCACACTAAGGTCACTGTTGTTATAATTACATATAAAAAATTTTACCTTTTGATGCAACACCTTTGATTTAGTATTTCATTGGTGTTTTTAAATCAAAAAGAATATTACATGGCTGCTTGGAGATATGAAATTTCTCTTCTGGTGTTGAAAAAAATTTCACAAGCTTGCTTCCCTCACTTGTGAAACATTTTTCAAGACTCCACAAGAAACTTTGTATCTCTATGCAGTCATGTAATGTCTTTTATACAATGATTAATAATGAAGAAGAAAAATAAATGGTGTGAAAACCTAAAAACCATCAAGGTGTGTTACTTTGTGGTGTCTCTCAAGATAAAAGGATGAACATATTAGGTAAAAAAAAAACAACCTAAAATATTTCTTCAATATGATCAAACAAAATTATAATATCTCTAAAATACATATTAAATGGGAAAAAAGAGGTTGACATTGTTACATTGCCCTAGGGAAAACCATGAAAAATTAAAAAATATAATTTCTAAATGTATATGAACAAGGTATAAAAACTGCCTCCCTCTTCCCCATTCAAATGGCTGATACATTTTGAGGAAGCCCCTCAACTCACACCTGAAGCAGCTTAAAGCCCAGGCCTTAATAGTTGAGGGCAGTAGGATATTAAATATATCCTATATATATATATCCTAAAAATTTGGATAAAAACAGAATTAAAAAAGAATTGCACTTTGCAGACTTTATGGTGAACATTTGGAAGTGGGTGCTAACCTGCAATAGTGCTAGACAATGAAAAGTCAATGTACACATGGAGGTCAAAGGTAAAATCAGTACTGAATGTTCAAAAAGCCTTTTAGCCAGTAAAGCTCAAAACTTCTCAACATCAAGAATAAGTCTTTCTGCTATACCTTTAACGTAATATACATCTTCATCATGTTTGATGCCAAAAGTCAGTTGATGACTATATCCCAAAGGTAATTAATTAATTTTTTTTCAATAACATCCAAATTCAACTACTTACACAGACTTGCTTTTCACTTGCCCACTGATCTTCTTCAAGTCATCTCCAAACCTCTTGACTGCACTTCTTAACATTTCAATTTCTTCATCTCCCCACTTGCCACTGTTGCTTTAACAGATTGAAAGACAATTAAAGGTGGAAGTGGAATGGAGAAAGATTTATGTCCGTATTTGGAATCTCTTATTAGGTGATAAACTCGTGCAAACCTGGTGATTTGAGCTGCTGGTTATCAAACGACATTCAGTCACCCTGATTCATAAAATAATTATAGGTATAAATTATTTACCATAGTGAAGGTGAACAGTGGCAGATATTTACCAAGCCAGGAAGTGGCAAGGTACTGGTAAATATCCACCACTTTCAAGGACATTGGGGTAAATAATTGTGTCAGTGCATAACACACAAATACCAAAAAATTAGACCATTTGGTTTTATCAACTAAGTTGCTTACGTAAATTGGCTACCATAGAGAGTTTCAAAGCTGACATTTCAAGCGTGAGCCCTTCATCAGAGCCAAAAAATCGGTTTATTTCTTGCAATATACTTAAAAATGGTCCAAAATTAAATTCTTGATGTGTTTTTTTGTCTCATCAGCTGCTAAGAGTTGAACAGCACTTGCTATTCACTTCTAAACTAGCAAAGAAAGGTATGCAAAAAACACTATTCCCTTGTGTGGTCTATAGTCTATTATAAAATGTCCAGAGAAATATGCACGCTGTGATTAGTCAGAACGAGTTCATTATATTTCCATAAAGCACGCACCTTGCGTCACATGAGTGCAGTGTTGAGATATAATGCACACAGCCTATGTTATTAGTATAAGCGTGTGCAATTCACAATACATTTTATAAAAGAAATAAAAAAAATTGTTCCATGAGCATTGTTGAGTTATATGAGCACTTGGGAATTTTTAAGATCACTCAAGAAAAATTCCCACTTGCTTATATAACTCAATGATGCACTTGGTGCATTTTTATTTTTTAACAGTTTTCATTCATCCCCAAGATAATATTTAATAGAACAAGCAATTAAAAAGTCAAAATAGAGATTAATTGAACTTGCATACATTTATTTCCATATCAGTTTTAAATGCCAATAATTTTGGAAAATGTTTTCGCACGAACAAAGCAATAACATCATCTCAGTTTATTCTCACACTAATCAATGAGCTACACTTAATGTATAAACTTGCAAACCTTGTAGTTGTTGTCAAGGGTGACGTGGCAGTATCATTATTCAGTGGATGCAGCTGCATTGTTAACTCACCCAAATGTGAGAAAGCTTCCCCAGCAGCCGTAAAAATCTCTGCAACCTAAGTTGTAGTATCTTATTGTGTTATTATCTAGACAACTCCAAAAGAAGTCACTTCTTTGATAATCTCTCTACTTAGAGACTGACTCTTTCCACTAAGCAATGAACATTTATCAAGGCCTCCTCTCCAAAGCTTCCTTCCTTCCTTCCTTTAGACCCCAGTCTAATTTATGTTTTATCTATGGTGCCTCCTTTTGTGGGAAATTTGATAAAAATAAAAAGATAACTCATTCTGTTTGTAAAATGTTATGAGAAATATGATTACCACATAAGGATCAAATTATGTGTCCATTTCCAATGCTGTGAAGCTCCTCATTTCTCACAAATTATTCCTAATTAGCTTATAGATATTTATGAAGTACCAGAATTTCTCCTGTTTCAGAAGCATGATACCCTTAACGCATAAAGGAAATGAACCATCTATATCTTCAACGGTGAAAATAACAATACCCTTGTGGAGACTTGGTCTCAGAACATGGCTATTTTTCCTATAGTTGCTTTTACTAATGAGAAACTTAATACCTTTGATGCAGATGAGCTCATCTTTGAAATCTTCTGATCACTTCATCACATATCAAAAGTGACAAAATTTGTAAATGGCACAAAACTGAGACAAAAAAAATGAGTAGATAAAAAAACGAGATACAAAAACCACAAAATTTAAGAAAGTGGATGTAAACATGATCATTCGAAGTACCAATTCACAATCAGGATTCTTGACTTTAGAACTACCTTACTCAATTTGAATTCTAGTTTCATAAAATTAAAAGACGTGATCTTAATTTTAGAATTTTGAATGAGAGTTCAGTCCAACACAGAACAAGGACACTGAATTACGAAAAAGATGTCTCAAAGTGAGTAAGAATGACTTTAAAAACAAGAAATTTCATAATTTTACTTACATTACCGAGTTCTTTTCGTGGAACAAGAAACCAGAGCCCTCGCTAAATTGTAATTTGTTCTTTGCATGAATCATATTTTGGAATATTTTCTAACTACTCATAGTGCCATCGTGTCGTTTATTTTACTTGAAACAACGAAACCTACCTTGTAACTAAAATTAGGTTAAAACATCACTCAAATCACTTACTTAGGGGTATTTCGAGAAGAAATATTAAGGAATCTCTGCAACCATACCGTTTGTTCTCACCGCCACTTTGGAGAACAACTACTTACCAGACCTCATGCGAATTGACGCTCTCTCCCCCGTTGGTCCTGGGAACGAGATGGCTTATCTAGAGGAAAGATGAAACAAGATAAAACATCTGACAACGCTTTCACATCAAGTCAATAATTGGATAACTATATTACAATATCATTAATTCAGTAACAGAGGTAGACAAAATACTCATAAGTTATATATAATGATAATTACAATTTAAAATAGTGAGGAACATTTTTCATTAAAAAAAATCTAAAAGACATACATTATATACAAATAAGATAAATAATTATTGTTCTTGGAAGATAACTATAAAGATAATAATCATGGTTGCAACTTGGTTGAATAGATGAAATATTATGAAACGATGTAGTAAAACACTTGTTTAGGTAAGAATTAATTAGGTATTGGCAATGCAATCAAGCTATTAACCGCTAAGTAAAATAGCCTCAATTGATGAGCTTTACGTCCATCCTCTAATTTATCTAAGTTCAATGATTTTAACATTTATGTAACCGAAGTACTTCTGTCATAATCTATTTTAATGAATCTGGCTCCGCGTCGCTGGACTGCCTTAATCTTGCCAATCTAGCCCTACTTGTAAGGGTCCCACACAGCTGAGGCATACTCCAAGTTCGGTCCGACAATAGTTGTATAAGCTAAGCGCTTAGTAATTTCAGAGCAGGGATAAAGGTTGCGCTTTACAAAGCGCATAATAGAATGAAAGTTACCATGGATGGTGTTTAACACCGGAAAGGCCAAAAAAAGGCTTAATAGCTAATTCAAATGTCTTCGTGATTATCTTTCTGAGAGAATACAAGGATCTGCTGGCGCATATTTATAATGAATCATTTCCATTGGGCACCCAATCACAGGATAATCCGTTAAGTAACGGTCTAGTCGCTCGAAAGTAATCTCGCCCGAAATCATTTCGCCTGGAAACTGTGTCATGTCGCCCGAAATCTTAGTCACGTCGCCCAAAATAAGAAGCAAAGTCACACGAAGAAACAAATACTGAAAAAACCATACTTACAGATTATTAACAGGTAATAAAATTGAGAAATCTTTACCAATGAAACGCTGGTTGTGATGAGATTTACTCGTTTTGATCGCTTTGCTTTGCTTCGCTGCGTATTTTGTATCGATTCGTTTGGTCGATGAAACAAATTAAGCGTTTAGACATTTGTGACCACAATGATAGTTCTCATTAGTTTAGAGATTCGTAATACTGTTTAATCGAGTTATAGGTTGAGTTATAATAGCATTGTTTATGTTTGTTAAATACGTCCCTGGAACGTTTGAATCAGGTCGCATTGACAGTGACATTTCATTATTGAAGGAAGGATTGGTAATGTAAGATAATGCACCAAAACGGTGTTCCGATCGATCCGTACCTTCAGCGGTTTCTAAAATATGTCATTCTGATGTCTTTTACAAGTGATAAAAAATTTGGCGACTTGACTTTTTATCTCTGGTGACATAACTAAAATTTCGGGTGATATGACTCAGGTTCCGGGCGACAGAACTAAAATTTTGGGCGATATGACTCAGTTCCTGGCGACATGACTTCGGGCGAGATAACTGCCGGGTGACTTGACCGTAGACCATCCGTTGGAGTTCAGGCGAAAAATTATTATCAAAATTTGATGTTTCTATCATAATGATTTATTTTAATTAACAATTGGTTCAAGAAGTTAGAGTTGCTCTCAGCTACGCCTCGAGCAACTCTTACGCATCTTTCGTGCTCTCCAAACTTCCCGCATGCTTCATATCTCGATGAACGCACGCTGACGTATGAACCAATTGTTTTATAACATTTTCAACCCGATGGAAAATTTGTTTTCTCGAGGGATTTGTTTGCTGACGTCATGAGCGTGCAAAATAGGAATATGAAGCACACTCGCGCAATTGAATTTGATTACACAAATTTACTAGCTGTTATAATGAAAGTTACGTAGGCTAAACTCTGCTGTACAGTTGATAAGATTATAACAATGATAATAATAATTATAATGATAATAATAACTTTATTTATACTGCAAAAATAGATCAGTTGAATTTAAATATAAAGACAGCTGGTATAAACCTATGTGCAGTTGATAAAATAT